ATTTATTAGTTAATAAATTAAAATCAATCAATAAATTAATATTTTTGAACAATGTTTAAGAAGAAAAACTAAAATTTTAATGACCTTAACAATATTGAAGATGATAATAATCACACTCGAATTATTGATGCATTTAATTAAAGTTAAATGTCAATTTTTAGTTTTTAAATTTTGAATTTTGAATATTTTTAGTTCTTAAATCATTTTTTAAATTATTTTTATTTTTAATTATGAAAAATACACTTTCTAAATTTTTTCTTTAGTTAATCTATGAAACATATTCATATATGTACATTTTTAATTTTTAAACTTATAAATTCATTAACTAAAAATATGTAGTATATATATATATTTATAGATAGACTTAATATATAGATTTAACAAATTAATTGATAAAAATATTAAAAAATATATTTTTTTATAATTCAAGAATTAAAAATATTTTAAATTAAAAATTTTAAAACTAAAAATGACAAATAACCTTTAATTAAATACACGCTGTGCAAAGTCATGAGTTAAGACTAGTGCCTATCAAAAAAAAAAAATAGAGACTAGTAAATAAATCATGTCCTAGTATATTAATGAAAATGTCAAAAATAAAAGTTTTTTCTTCAATTAATCTATTAAACCTATTTATATATATATTATTAGTCCATAAATTTGTAAATTTATAGATTAAATATATATTTGAATAAATTTAATAGACAAATTTAAGAAACTAATTGATAAAAATATTTAAAAAACATATTTTTTTATAACTTAAAGATTAAAACTATTCTAACTTAAAAGTTTAAAAACTAAAACAACATATAACCTTTAATTAAATGCAGGTTTTGCAAAATCATAAGCCAAGAATAGTAGCTATCAAAAAAATAGAGACAAGTAAATAAATCATATCCTAGTATATTAATGAAAACGTCATAATTAAATAAAAATCACACGGGTTCATTGGCTCACCATTTAATTAAAATAAAATATCTGTAATACCATACCATAAAAAAATGGAAAACTAGCATATTTGTTCACTTTTTTTTTTTTTTTATATATACAAAGGAAGCAAAAAGTACAGTTTAATTTCGTACAAACAATGCTCCAGTACTGTCCCCTTGCAGAATCGGATCTGTAAAAGGTGTTGTGCCCAATTGAAGGTAGTGGCCTAATGAGGGCATAAAGTCCGCTCCAAATTTTCCCTTTCTAAGTGTATGCATAACCATCTAATTAAGCAAGGTATCTAGCAGGGCCTAAACATCTTTAAGTAAAGGAAAAGCTAGCTTCCACCAGCTTCTGGGCTAACATAATCTGCATTGTGAATCTAATTCCAACAATTAATTAGCTGCTGCAACCCAAGGGAGAGGACGAGTCTCAATCCTTCTCTACATCCTCAAAGCTCTGCCATAAAACTTGAGGTAATTGTAATTCCAATGAAATCGTTGAATTCAATTAACATTAAAAAAAAATGACAAAAAAGACTTGAGTTCTACAAGTTTTTCATAAATGACAACATTTCATCCCCGTCAGGCCCAGTTGAAAGCAGTATACCTATGCAACCGAGTTGATCTTT